TTGATTTATTGTAGAGATGAGGTCTCGTTGCCCAGGCGGGTCTCGAACCCGCGGGCTCAGGCAATCCACTCACCTCAGCCTCCCAAAGGCATGGGATTACAGGCTGAGCCACCGAGCCTGTTGCCCTGGCTAGAGCGCTGGAGCTCACAGCTACTGCAGCCTTGACCTGCTGGGCTCAGGTGATCCTTCTGCTTCAGCCTTCAAAATGGCTGGGACAACAAGCATGCATCATGATGCCCCACTAATTTTTTAAATTTTAAATTTTAGCCAGGTGCAGTGGCTAATGCCTGTAATCCCAGCACCTTGGAAGGAGGAGGTGAGGGGATTGCCGGAGCCCAGGAGTTCAAGACCAACCTGGGCAACTTGGCAAGATATATATATATATATATCCAGCATGGTGGTGTGTGCCTGTAGTTCCAGCTACTTGGAAGGCTGAGGCAGAAGGATCACCTGAGCCCACCAGGTTGAGGCTACGGTGGCTGTGAGTGTGGCATTGCACTCTAGCCTGGGTGATAGAGATTTCAATTAAAAAAAATTTTTTTTAAATTTTATTGTAGAGATGAGGTCTTACCAAGTTACCCAGTGTAGTCTTGAACCCCTGGTCTCAGGCAATCCTCTCACCTCGGCCTCCCGGAATGCTGGGATTACAGGCATGCGCCACCACGCCTGGTACTCTTCCATTTTTAAAACACCCAGCCCTCTGGAGCTGCTTTTGTTTGCCCATGAGGAATGTGACTAAGACAGGTGATGAGAGGATGCTGGCAGAAGTGACACAGATGGCCGTCACATGCAGCCCACAGCCCAACTTAAAACAAGGTTCCCAGAGACTCCAGCAACAATGGAAAGGGCTTCCTTGCAGGGGCATATTGCCTTCTCTGCTTCCTGCCAGCAATGGGCTCATCTCCAGACAAGCAGACAAAAGTCACCATCACTGTTCCTAGACTTTTGTCACTGCCACCCATTACAAATCCTGGTTTTGCCTTTGGTACTTGACTCAGTCTACCAAACGGCTCCCTCACATGCAAGTAAGCAACATGCCATGCAAATACCTAAACAGAACATAAAAGAGCCCCTGAAATATCTCTGTGCTATTCTTTGACATTTTTTTTCCCTTGAGTCAGGGTCTTACTCTATTGCCCAGGCCGGAGTGCAGTGGCATGATCATGGCTCACAGCAGCCTCGATTTCCTGGGCTCAGGAGATCCTCCTGTCTCAGCCTCCCAAGTTTTGGGACTACAGGTGCACACCGCCATGCGTGGCTAAATTCTATTTTTTTTGTAGCGATAAGGTCTTACTATGTTGCCCAAGCTGGTCTCCAACTCCTGAGCTCAAGCAATCCTCCTGCCTCAGCTTCCCAAAGTGATTACAAGTGTGAGCTACTATACCCGGCTCTTATGTGATTTAGAAATAAGTGTGTTCCCCTAAAACAATGCTCTCCTTTTTTTCCCCCATGGAACTATCTTTAGGCTGAGAAGAGTGATGTAGTGGTGGGCAGTGGGGCTGGGGTGCCCTCCCTGACCGTGACATTTGTATTTAAAGCTGAAAAGGGAAGCTAAGTGCCTGCAATAGAATCAGACTCAGTTTCTAAAGACTGAAGCTGTGCCGTGGGTGTAGAGATGAAAGGGTCTTTCAGACAAGAGGCTGAGTGTGAGCAGGGAAACTTATACCATGTAAACATAACAGGTACGATTTAAAAGACCTGTAAGAGCCGGGCTCGGTGGCTCAGCCTGTAATCCCATGCTTGGGAGGCTGAGGTGAGTGGATTGCCTGAGCCCGTGGGTTCGAGACCCACTTGGGCAACTTAGTGAGACCTCCAAGGTGTGGTAGTATGTGCCTGTAGTTCCAGTTACTTGGAAGGCTGAGGCGGAAGGATCGCTGGAGCCCAGCAGGTTGAGGCCGCGATGGCCGGGAGCGGCCACTGCACTCCAGTCTGGGTGACAGAGTGAGACTCCTACTCAAAAATAAATAAATAAATAAAAATAAAAAAGAAAATAAAATACCTGTAACCCATTTTGCTGTGGAGTCACAGAGACCTGAATGAACAAGATAACTGTCCAAGTGAAGGAATAGTGTCCTGAGATAAAAAGAGCATCTTCCATAGTTTTATTTTTTCTTGAATTGGCATCTCGCTGTTGCCCAGGCAGGAATGCAGTGGCACGCTCATGGCCACTGCAGCCTCAACCTGCTGGGCTCAGACGATCCTTCCATCTCAGTTTTCCAAGTAGCTGGAATTACAGGAATGTGCCACCATGCCCAGCTAATTTTTTTTATTTATTGTAGAGACTTGGTCTCACCATGTTGCCCAGGCTGATCTCGAACCCGTGGGCTCAGGCAATCCTCTCACCTCAGCCCATCAAAAGCTTTAAAAGTACTGCATAGTCATAATTCAGAGGTGAAGACACTGTGTTCCGGAAAAATGGGTCAGTGACTCAAAAAGTGGCTGAGGTGACAGAAGAGGGTGACACATTTGAATAAAATGGTCTCGTGAACAGGTGTGGTGGCTCACACCTGTAATCCCAGCACTTTGGAAGGCAGAGGTGAGAGGACTGCCTTAACCCAGGGGTTCGAGCCCAGCCTGGGTAACTTGGTGGGACCTTGTCTCTACAAAAATCAAAAAATTAGCTGGGCGTGTTGGCACATGCCTGTAGTTCCATTTACTCGGAAGCCTGATAAAGAAGGATTGCCTGAACCCAGCAGTTGAGGCTGTGGTGGCCATGAGCATGCTACTACACTGCAGCCTGGGCAAGAGTGAGACTCTGACTTAAAAAAAAATAAAGATCTCATGAAACGTGAGAGTGGAACATTTTTCCCACTTTTATTTTATGAAAGATGCCATTGTCTTTTTATTTTTTTGAGTTGAGTTTCACTCTGTCACCCAGGCTGGAGTGCAGTGGCATGATCATGGCTCACCGCAGCCTCAACCTCCTGGGCTCAGGCAATCTTCCCACCTCAGCCTCCCGAGTTGCTGGGACTACGGGCATGTGCTACCATGCCTGACTAATTTTTTGATTTTTTTGCAGAGACGAGGTCTCACTGTGCTGCACAGGCTTGCCATTTTCAATACACATGTGTGGTTAAACCCATACATGGAATATTGCCAGTTGGGGGAGATGCCTCACATAGACTCAGAACATACTCGCATTGACTTTCACGTGACAATGGCACACGGTTGAGCTCCGACAGAGCTGGGCCATGAGCATGCTGAATATTCCTGACAGGGTACGTCATCCTGGACTTTGGTTTTTCATTCTGTCTGGGAAGTATAAACATTATCCACAAAAACCAAAAAAACAAAACAACAACAACAAAACAACACCATCCATATGCGGTTTCTCCAGCCAAGATCCTTCTGCTCAAGTCCAGAAGTCATTTCCAGCTGTCTCTCACCTCTCCAGGGGGTCGTCACCAAGCATCTCAACCTCCACATGCCTCAAAGCAAACCCTTCATCTCATCTGCCCCTAGCACCTGCCCTTCCCACCATCTCAGGAGATAGGAGCAGGTGCTCTGGCTGACAACTGTCAGGTCATTCTTGACTCTTTTCACAGCCAATCTATCAGCAAGTCCTGTCACTGTGTTTTTTTTTTTTTT